TGTGATGTTTCTGTGTCATATGTACTTTCTAAGAGTATTTGGACATCACTGATTAATGCATTCCCAAAGAGGGTTGATGTCAAGCAGGCGGCCGGTCGTAAAAACAATTAGCCAAAACTATTAACAAACATGTCAGGCAGACCCTGGCTAAAGCTGAGAAAATGTTTTACGTATAATTACAATTCTAAACTTAGAGTACATATATATGAAAAGTAATAAATTGTGCCTTACAGTAGTATATTTATACGATGAATTTAAATCCGCACACAGAATGATATAGTCAATAACAGTACGTCATTGTTATGGAGCATAAAAGTATAGTGGCTACCTGTTAAAAGTCAACTATAAAAAATTCATTTTTATTACCAGTATGTATTGACCACCTGTAATTCGTTTAACGCGGATTATAAAACATTTTATGACGTTTTAAAGGGAATAATGGATATATGCGGAGAATTGAGACTATAATAGCTAGATATATATAGAAATACGAACATATGAAAGAAATTTATATGTGAATATTACTATCAAAATGACGATTTTAGTTACGATAAAAGATTTTTTCAATGTATTACATTTCTATAAGGAAGTTAACTTCCATATTTTATACTTATCTGTCAAGTAGCTAGTAAGTTAGAGCTAAATTAAATGTTAACCACAATACTTAAGTACCTACTCGCAAGAGGGATTTTGGCTGAGAATTCATTATTTTCATTTTAATTCAGAATAATCTGTATCAAAACGAGATCAGGCATGTCAAATAAAGGATATTTTTATTACAGTAATGAAGATGTTCTCTTAATTGAGCCAACTGGTGAATTCGTGGTGGAAACGCAGCCTAAGCTTGCCTTGATCAGAGTTTAAGATCTTAACTGCTGGGACGCGGAAGCACAATGAGATAAAATGTGCGTGTCTGTTATGAGATTTATATCCCATGCCTCGCTTCCGTTCACTATAACATTGTTTAGTATTGTTCTACCTTTATATTTTATTACACCATCACCATCGCTCCTTTCTATTGAGTTAACAGGTTATATGTATTTTTATGAAATTTTCTGTCACGATGATGTAAGGTCTGCTTTATAAACTATTAGAATTACGTCAATTTTGTGGTATTTTTATTCGTTCTAAATCTAAAACTACCGTCTGATTGTCTTGCCGTATCCAAAACACGAATACCCTGCCATCGAGTCGTGGATACATTAACTTCGCTTGGCCGTTAATATCTAATCTGATACAGATACAACTAGGCCAATGATATGAATTTTATATATATATAAATGTTTATAATATTTTATTTGTATAATATGTTTGATTATATTAAACGTTTACGTCATACTAGAACTATGAGCAGATGTCACGTTTTGGTTGTCTCGTGCCGGTCATTAGCGGTCTAAAGCTACCAGTCGCTACTCTGGATAAGTAATAGCTTCAAATAACCAACTAGCCACATTCACTAAATCGATTAGGTCAAGGGTCGCTACAATGTGAGACGAGGACGGATATATTCTACAGAGCTACGCTGCGTAATTCCGCTAGTAATGGCGAATCACGCCTCCAATAACAGAAAGGGACAGCTGTATAGACGGTGAAATGTTGCCAAGATAAGCGAATAATGCAAATGAAACTATAATAATTCCATTTAAAGCTTATTTTAAACATTTTACGCTTGGATCACGATTTCGATATTCTGTACAAAGCTTTCGGTATTTCATCTCATTGCCATTAGTCATTATGTTACTGTTACCTAATGTTACGACTATTTATTTTTTTGCCATAAATTATATATGTCAACACTTCAATAAAGAAAATAATAATCGAATAATTCCTCGAAACGTCCACGTGTGAAACAGTTCCTGTGAAAATACATAGTAGCCTTCAACGGAATATTAAAAAAAACTTGGCATATATTAAAGCTAAGCAGCAATCATTGATATTTGATACTTTACATTTAGTACAATAGCAGTAGAATAGCATTTAAGTCTTCAAAATTACTTAAATAAATAATAATTGTAAGACAGTTCGGCTCTACTAAGTCGAATACCTAAAGAAATAAATTAAGTCGTGTTGTTAAATTTTTACGTATTACAAATGCCAACCTATTTGTCCTTGAATGCTTCTCTGTAGACGTAGATAATATAACGGGCACTTGTGGCCTGTAATCAGTCAAAATCAATACTAAGTCGCTGTAAAAGCCGCTCTATTTGTTTAAGATACACCTCAGATAACACCATGACTTGGTTTGCCAAGGGTATTTAAGGATTACAGAAATAGAAAACTATGAATGTTATTGTAGGTACTACATAATTATTTTACGACGACAAATAATATAAGATACTTATTACATTATTGATATATAATAAGTACATATTATTCTTAAAAAAAATATATTTATCAATAAACAAAGGAATTTCCATTTCAAATAAATTGTGATGCCTTGATAAAAATTTATGATTATATTAATGAATTTGTTATTCAACTTCGCAAATTCAACTTCGGATGTCTGTGAATCCAGATTTTCACAGACGTCTTAGGTTCTCGCTTCATCAGTCAGTCTTTTAGATTCTTGAAAAACACGCCGCCTGAGGTTGTATATTATAAGAATAAACAAATTAATTTAAGAAAATTTTATTGAATTGAAGTTAATCTTAGATCACAGTAATACTCACAGTAATAATCACAAACTGTTAGGTAAATTAACTAAAAAATAAAAAAATCTTACTTGTACGCAATAATATCTTGCTTTATCATTTTACATATATTTAACATTTCCTTCCACTAAAACTATTTGTTATTTATTACATATAACACATAATTTATTCATCAGGACTATCAAATTTCTGGTTTGAACCATTTATCAAATAAAATTTATTATCAAGATTTAGAAGAAAAATAACTTCGACTATCACTTCATTGAACAAATTTACACAATTATTTACCAAGATTTAGAAGTACTTCATTAAACGTCTTTTAAGGTTAGTTACTAAGAAAAAGGTCTGAATAGCTTCAAGTTATAAGAAATCACTTTTTTAATCTCCATATTTCTGTGATATTTGCACCTTAGTACAGAAAAGTCTACGTTAGAAGAAATTGAACTGAAGTTTAAAATTATATTAAGATAACAGTAACCTAATTGAAAAGTTATTCGAACTTATGTATGTCCTTCATGACTAAGAAATTTTATTTATTTAGATTACAAAAGGAAAATTATTATTTAACTTACGAGCAATATCTTAAAGGTTTAAGGCCAAGCTCAATCAAATTTGAGTGACAAGTGGACATCAAGCAAAATATATTAAGAACCAAGTTTTTAAAGATATGACATAAGCTGTATATGTAGATTATATGTATGAATAAACAAACAACAATTTTCATTGCCAACATATGTAAAATATATTAAAAATGCTAAAACAAAATATCTATAAGCAGATCTAAATTTTTATAGTTTATTAATTATGTTTAATTAATGATAATGATAAACAATTTGTAAATGAAATCATTATCGTTCACTACAGGTGTATGCGCGCATAATATGAATTTATCAATAATTAAATATCAATATGATACTTATACTTATACTTTAATATACATCAATTCTATATATATTTTTTAACATATAACCCTAAATTACTAATTATGAATGACTTACACAAAATATATATCGTAAATTTGACGTTTTTGGTAATTGTATCTAGATAATAATTACGCTAAGTCAAATTTGGGTCAACAAATAAAGGCGGGGTTTGCAGAATAGTGTATATTTTTTAACATTATCTTTCGGTACTGCCGCTCGTTGCAGAAATGTTGATTAGATAGCGAAACGATAAAAAAATTTAAGTAAATAGATGCATATTTTTCGTTGATAGCGAAAAATAAATCCACCTGACCAAATCCTTTAGCAGTTTTCTCATACCAAAAAAATGGATTACATATATATCGAACATTGAAGAGACATTAATTTATTAAGGCTGCATCAAGTGATAGTAACGTAGGCTTTGATAGAGTTATTAGAGCAGAGATCATACGATAAGACTAGTGTGAAACAAGAAAGCCTTTCAGAAACATAAGTAAAACGGGTCCCGGTCTATAAAGTGAAACTTGGTTGCATTTATTATTTGCAATTTCATTATCTAGCACCTGCCCTCATCGATATATTAGTTAGAATTTTCTCAACACTAATTCTATATAATATTTTATATCATCTACGATAACATATGGATTATTTGTTTGTAATGAATTGTCAAAGTTACCAAAATAGTATTGATCTGAAAAAGAATAGCTACACAGGGATTTTTTATATCTTATAATTTTCTATATAATTTATTCAATTATTATTATTTCTTGTTAAAAAAACGTCTACTGGTTATCGTTTTGAATGCACAAACACGAACATATACATTTGCTTACGTTTATAATACTAATTTTAATATGATGTATTAGTTGCAATGCCTATATTTTCAAATGTGTATGTTGGATAAAAGATTGATGTTATATGTTTAAAAAAATGTCCATATACTAGTATTTGTATTAAAGCTCTTTAATTAATGTTTGTAGGTCTCTTTCTTATTTGTCTCTATGGATCTTGTAGGCTTTGATCCAGATTACTTCTTGGAAATTCTATCGATACCTATTCAGAGAAAATAGGCTAGCCTTACTATCCCATCTCCGTTCTCAATGCACGTACATATATACTTGAAAATTTGACATAATTTAATTGAGACAATGAAGCCCATTAACAATCAAATATGACTTAGCAACAGATAAAAAAACAACTGGCAACATTACATTATAATATATTAAAAAAAAGCACATTATTGGCCCTTTTTATTTCGGAGTATATCTGAATTCTTTCGATTTATTCTTCAATTTTGTGTTTATAAGTTCATTCATAATTTATTTCTATGATTGAAATAGATTTATATTTGAAGTTTGTTTATTTTTGCTATGTAACTAGATGGTTGAGTATTATGTGGTTACAACTTAATTGTCATTTGAAAGCAATGGACATGGACGACGATAGCCCTTGGGACTCGCGAAAAACTTACATAGTGATGTTTATTTGTCACGTCCTTGGAATAACGAATATCAGCACAATACCAAATGACGCCCTGTTGCAAGGAGCTTTCGGATTCTCAATAGTCCTGATTATAGTTTACATCACTATGGGTATACCAATGCTGTACGTGGAATCCATAGTTGGTCAGTTCACAGCGAGAGATTGCATAGATGTCTGGAAGATTCGACCTTGCCTATCTTACATAGGATATCTTTTAATTATTTGGCAAGCATTCACACTTATCTATAATCATGTTGTATCATCGTTTTTGTTGCATTATTTTTTAATAAGCTTCGAAACGCCCATACCGTTTTACACTTGCGGATTTTGGAGCACAAAATATTGCGGTAATCTTGTCAATAACTACACAGTTAACCTGGATTGCGTGAAGAACCAGAACATATTTCCTTACTGCGAGCATTTATATAAAACATTTCCTGAATATCAGTATTGGAGACTGAATTTGGTACCATCTGGGCATGTATGTAATTTTTGTATAGCCTGGAGGGTATGCCTAGCTTCTGGGCTTAACTGTATCGCCATTTTCCTAAGCTGCTTCAAGAGGTCCAAGTCACTGAAGTGGGTTATCAATATGTCCATTGGCTTTCCAATACTAACGCTAGCGATACTCCTGATGGGTTCCATGCGGCAAGAAGGTTTGGTGGCGAAATATGAGGAGGCTATAGATATAGATTTTTCGATTTTTGCCGAGCATTTTCGCTTTTCGAGTGTCGTACAGAATGTGATGTTTAATTTGGGTATAGGATCGGGGCTGACCTTTAACCTCGCATCGAGTGCACCTTTCCGGTCGCCAAGCTTCTCTAATACAGTTGTCACAGTAATGATATGCGTGGTTTACACAATTATTGCTATATTTACAACGGCTATGTTAACCTGCCCGTATGCTTTCAAATACGGTCCTTCAGCCGGTGACATAATCAGAACACCATTGTCATTTGCGTTTGAGAAAATACCAAGACTACTCTATGAATATCAGGATAAAATGTTCTATCTTATTGTAATTTACAGCTGCTACTTTATAATAGCCATCAATTCCAGTTTTGTGTTATTTTATAATTTACTCGAGGTCATATTCAATAGGAACCCGAAACTGGTGAACTATCCTGGCTTAACTGTTTTCTGTGCGTCTCTTATACTCTATATACTAACTATCCCATTATTAAGTTATATTGGTGTTAGTTTATTAGCATACAGTTTTAGACGACACGTAACTCTCATAGCAACATTTGTCGGTGCCTTGGAATGCGTAACTTTTGTTTTTTGGTACGGCATGAACAGATTTTCGGAAGACATACATTTCATGGTCGGCATTCGACCAAATAGCTGTATCAAGGTTGCATGGGGTTTGAGCATTATATTCTTGATATACGCGTTTTGCTACGAAGTACATGATCAGTTAGAATACTCTAAACATTTTAAATATTCTACCTATAGCGTTATAGCTTTTGCTAGTCTTCTTGTAATTGTTACACTTGTGAGGTTATGTGTTGCTGTGATAAAACGGAGATTTCGCGAATTTATAGCACTTGATAAGACATGGGGACCGAGAGACGACATCTTACAAAGAAGCAGAGGAATGTTTTCCGCGCAGGCTATGACCAAAGAGTACATATACCGACAATATCACCTTCAGGCCGGTATATTGCAGAGACAAAGAAGGTCGAATATAAGGGCTCCTTTACGCTAAATAATTAGAAGTATTCATATTATAATTTTCTATAATTCTTCCAAAATGTATTCCATTAAACACATTGTTTTATTGTTATGATATAATAATATTTTAGATTTATAGAAATTGTAAAAAATTCTTTATGGTAACTTGAATTAATTAAGTACTAGTGTGACTCATTCTATTAATATATATGCCGCTTGTATATAATTGAATTATTATATCATGAAATTTATAATGTATGACTCATCGCCGAAAATATTTTAACGCTACATTAATATTAATACAATTAGGATGTTTTTTTAAAGCTAATAACCAACCATAACGATAAAGTCAAACTTGTTACGACAAATATTCTTAGTTTATTTTTTATATCAACATAATATAAAACTGGTATAAAGCTTGCCTCTTAACTATATTATGATGGATTTAAATATTCATTTGAAAAAAAAAAAATCTATATATAAGAAACAAAAATATTTTTCTTGAAATTTTATTTCGAATGTTCTTTCCCTTAAATTAATATTATGAGGTTCATTATGTTAGCATTCTCGGAAGCTATAAAAAAGAAAGTTAACAGTTTCCGCCTCAACAGCACCTACTCAGCCATCTGACATTCGTGAAGGAGAAGAAATAGATTTATTTTAAATAAAAAAAGTGGCGCGCCAAGCTGTCTGCTCACACAGCGATGTCACAATGTAAACAACACGATCACTTTGGCAATGTAACACATCCATGGATGGATTTTCTGATGAGATGTTACATCACACGCTTCCGAAGCGTGAATGGATGCAAAAATTACATTAGACACCACATTAAAACTGTTTAACGCTCGTTATCCGTTTTGCATATAGTTTTTATAGTTACTTACGATTAGTGCCAGTAATAATTTCATCTGATCTGACTTTAGACCAGTATAATATTAATTTACAATCGGGTTTACTTGTGCGTTATTTATTATATCTTTTTTCTTATAATATGGTACGTAAAATATATAAGCTTTAATAAATATATTTTTTTGGTACAGTAAAATTCTAAGTAAGATTTTAATTTCGTTTATAAAACTTGGTATCTGTTTCAGTTATACAATTTAATGACATTTTTTTAACTTGACATTTAAGTATATTTAACCAGTGACTGTTGTGCATGAAAAATATATATTGTATTTTTAAATTCTAACGAACCTTAAAATTAACAGTTAATTTACGAAACCCGTAAACAAGATTACTATTACATGTAATAAAATTAAAATCGATTTAAATCAAAAAGCTTGACTAAGATTTATATAACACATTTCAATTTAAATAACGAACACAATTCTATTAGTTATTCGTATACGAAGTATTTTTATGAACGCGTGGGTGTAATAGTATATGACAATTTATAATGACACGGAAAAGCAAAGACAGATTAAAAACTCTTATCATATAAACACTTATACGAAATTACATTAATATTTAATTATATTTTATTACTGTTTAATTAACTCATTAATTTATATAGAGAAATTTTAATAATCTGTGAAAGCTGATGTCTCTTTTAATAGTCCGTTCGCAGCTAAGTGCGTTTTACTTAACTTATTTGCTCACTAAGAAATCAATCAATATCAAAAAGATTGCGTATGTGTTTAATTTAACTTATATACCAATGTAAGATTAATACATTTAAATGTATTAAGTTTAGATTGTCCGAAAGGCGATTAACATACAGTATCTGTAAGAGGAGTGCAAATCCAGTTTGTGGCACATTGCGTCATATAATAGAATGTTTGACCCGGAGCGCGTTAGAGCCAGTGCCGCGTTAGCTGCGCCACCAAAGTCTCTACTCTCTAGTGAATTCCAACTATTGTCACGACATATTTTCTTCAATGTGATGTTTATTTTTTTTTATACCATACAACTAACGGTAAAATTTATTACTAAATATGGCGATATAATTCACGATATATATTTTTAATGCTCACAAATCCATTGACCCTTGTTGTACAATATGCTATTAGTGACTACATAGCTGGAACATAAACCAGTAATTTACTTGGATTTTATGCTAATCTTGACTGGCTCGCTCACTTAAGAAACTGTGTTAAACGAGTCTGAATCGGATATTAAGAATTAGTGTTATTATGTTTTATTGTTACACATCACTGGAGTAACTTTATAGTATATTTCACTTGTCTCGCTGTTTCATAACAGCAAGCCCAAATGGACACCTTTCGCCATTAATCAGGTTGATTTTGCATCTAAAACGTTAGAAACTGGTTATTATTATTGTTTGATGCAGGTCACTATTATATTTACAAAATAGAAATAGAACAGCATAAAATGTAATCCATTAAACAACTTCTATATAAAATTTCACGTATTTTCTTTTTACATATAAATAATACTAATTATAAAACGAACTCACATAATGTAACATATGACATTTGTATAGTGAGACGTAAAACTTTTAAATGTTAAATATTCTATAGGTCGAGAGTTAAAAAGTTAAAACAAAGAGAGTGCTTAAGTACACAATCATCGTATATTTACGCTATCAGAGTCGACACTTAGGTGGAGGGTACAATTGCACAATGTTTAGACGACACATTGGACAGGCGGTCCATATCGGTCGGTTAAATTATTTATTATGCTTTAAAAGACTTGAATGGCTCTAAGATGGTGCGTTTATCGGGCACCTCAACCTGACTCGTTCCGCGGTAGGCTTGACCAATATACTTGGCACGGTATAAACTCACACGCAGACACGTTTAGAATTCAAAGATTTAGTGTTCACTTATGTTATTATCAATTAGTATTCATTAAGTAGTCATTTTTTAGCTACTTAGTAATTAGTTTACATATAATTTAATAGATCAATCGTCTTCTTTCTTTGCGTAATTAGTCTCAAGACATATAAAAGAATGTAGAAATTATTGAAGCGTTCATAATATTAGTAGTTAAAAATGATCTTAAAATATAATGAAGTGGATTTAAATTTAAATAACACTTAAGATTAGTGTGTTATTAATAATTAAGTGTACTTAATAATAATTGGCGGAGTCGTATCTGTGTATTGCACGTTGTACAAGAGCGATCACTTTCGTCGCGCGCGCAGGTGCCCGCCGCTCCCCGCCGCCTTCACCTCTGGCTAACGGTGCGTTTTGTTCAACAAAACTTAAACAGCCATAAAGGCTAAAGGTAAGCTAGAACCGACTCTATTATATCTCCTCAAATATTATACCTCCTATTGTACTATTAACAGTCAACGCCGTATTGTTCAATTGATCTTTCAAGCGACGTTAAACGATATACCATACGTTACATAAAATCGTTAATAGTTTCTTTATAGTGCCAATAAAGTATCAATTAATTTAATAAATAAAAGATCTCTAACAACAGCCGTGACGTTTATTGAATTTTGTATGAAAATATTATTAAATTTTGTTTCTTACACAGCTCGACCTCTTCGTCGCATTTTTGAAACTTGTCGACCGATAAGTTGTTTCAATGTGTCAATAAAAGATAACCAATGCAAATAAAGAGACATAATGTCGATGGCACGTTAAACTGGGGCAAGAAAGGAAGCATTAGGAATTTTAACTTGAAGAACTGTTCATTAATATTGTTAAAAATAACGTTTAATATAAGATTATGAGTAAGATGAAGACTATGTGGTAAAATTGCAATCATAGAATTAAAGTTTCGAAATATTATATAAAAAACAAGGTTTGGAAAGGTATCAATGGAAATTAGGAATGTTATCATACTTTTCTCGAACTATTGGATATAATATGAACGTATATATCAGGTGATCTAACCAGATATGATAGTATTCGGCTTGCATCGGCCACACACAGCTTGGAATGTGTGAGGCCGCGGGGTAGAAAGCAACCGCGATGTCTCGCAAATGGGACAGCCCTTTAGATGACATCGGCATTATACGGATGCGGATGAAAAAAAAAACAAATGTCAAAACCGATTTTGACATTACGCTTGACATAATAAAAATCAAGTACGAGCTTTTGAAGTATATAATATAGATAATAAAAACAACAACGGAATGTACTTTGGGGAAAAATATGTTGTTTCTAAAATAGGTTAATTGGAAGTTTCAGGGCTCATGCTACTGGTCGGCCAACTTAATTAAAACTTACGAATGAGGTTACGGACAACGTAGTACACATATAAATTAGTCGCATTATACCAGCAAAATTTTTATGCCACTGTTTATTCAAGTAAAAGTTTTTGTTATATTAAATTTCCAAGGAAACACACACTACTATGAATGAGCTAATTAATGCAATTTATATAGAAATTGACGTTGATAAATTTATAGATTCATAGTTTATGGATTCAAGTTAAATCTTTAACGAAAACAATAAATTGTCAAAAAAAATATGTCCCAATGGCGAGCGAAGTAAAGGTAGAGCTTTCCATTGAATGGAAAAATGCAGTGTGAAGCCGGTTTGTCCATACCTTCCGGATTCCCAACCTGCTACTCTAGGTCAGCTAGCTCTGTCTCAGTCGCACACTGCTCTGCCAGAGATTTGGGGTCGCGACGCCCTAACCTAGATTGTCTTGTCTTGGTAGATTTCGTACTGACAACCTTATATATTTTAATGGCCATACTATTATACTTCATTAACAATATTATAGTTAGGTTTCTAGTTTTTGCGTGTACATAAATTTTATGTTAAGCATGTTAAGTATTAAATTATATTAACTTAGTTTATTAATTATTAATTTTGCTGTCGTTAAACTTAGTAAATAATTCCTTAAGAAGTTAGAATCGAATATCTAATCAAAATAGATCGTTTAAACTGTTTTGGTATATATTCAGATTATTATAATCAAATTTACTCTTCACAGTAAATGAATTCAATACAAGTTCAATCAGAAATCAAACCGACAAATCACATTTCGATCATGCATGTCGAACAGTTGTTTATTAAAATGCGTAAAATTTTTCTACAATAGCCATAATGATATGGAATGATTATCCGGGCAATGCGAGCATTGTGTTGAAAGCTGGGATAT